CTAACTACGGACAAAAGGAAATTACCACCTATATACCAAAGTTAGGCCAAGATGAAATATAAACCACAGATATAGCATAGGTACAAGACGGATAACGTGGCCACACCACACCCTCACATTTAAAAACCAAAAACTACATCTACACCTTAGGACACAGGTCGGCAGAAAGAAAAATGAAAAGTTGGTAATTAAAATACTTGGTTTGTTTTGTTTGTACACACCCAGCATTGTCTTACATATCATTAACCAATCATAAATTTCATGTTAAGTTTGATGGCAGGTATGTAATGCGTAATTAGGTTTGGAAACACTTATAAACAAAATAGTTTGGGTCTGTCAAATTAATATTTACCAAAGATTCTACATTTCAAGATTTTTTGTAACCTTTTATACTTAGATTTTTTTGGGGTCTGGTATTAGCTTAATTTGGGAAAATTAATTATAAAAATAAATGTTATAAAAGGGCTAAAATACCCTTAAAAATAGATGGAAAATTGGATGGTGTTAAGTCAAATGACAAATCATGGATTTAGAAAATTTTAGGTAACGTTTCTCTTAAAATTTTCTTTAAAGTGACAAATTGAAACAAATGTATAAGTTCATGTGACATTTCAACAATTATCACAATTTGTTGATGTTCCACCAAAGAGTAAAAGACAAACGACGTACAAAAAGTGGAATTAGTGGGGTGGGTGCAATGTACATGAACACTAAAATGTGTTGCTGACGTCCCCTGTCTCGTCCCCAACTTCGGGAGTGCATCTATCTTCGTCAATTAGTATTTGTTTAATCTTATGGTCAGGAATTTGTTGAAAATAAAATTCTATACAAATAAAACTTGAGATCCTAATCATAGATTAAATCAAAGTTGCATGCATACCACTTTGCGAAATAACAAATGTGTAGAACCAAGGTGGCTGGTGTGAGTGGTTCAGCACTCTCATTCCTTAAGAGAGGTCAGGAGTTCGATCCCTGCTCTCGTATGGAGTTACCACTTTGGCCAGCACTTTACCATTTACGGGCCGACCCAGTGTGAGCGGGGATTAGTCTGGGTTGTGGTTAAGGCTTAAAGGTGCCACTCATAATTGGGGCCCATCTAGGACTACCTCGTGGTTCAAACCAAAAAAAAAAACAAATGTGTAGAGTTTCAATTTGATTTAGTCTTTACGCTAATTAGCTGAAATGTTTGAATGAGCCTTATGCATATCTGAAGAGCTACATCCTCACTTTGTCACCAGCCTAAGCAAGATTACCCAATCATCACCATTCTTATCATTTCATTATCACATGATAATTAAATTGATAATGGTCATGTGGGGATAATATATATAATATATAATATATGTTTAGACCAAATACAAAAATACGGCATCGGAGGGACCACCACCTTTGAAATTAATTTTGGTCCGCCGCCAGGCCCGCCCCACCTACCTTGCTATAAAGAAATATGTAGAAAGAAGGAAAGTCACGGGAAATTAGAAGTTCATAGGTCACTTGAAATTAGAAATTTTACACGTCACTTAAATTTAAACAACAAGAGAATAACAACTGCACCATGCATATTTAGGTTTCGCCTATTAATATCATGACATTTATATATTCAATTAAAGTTAGGCATGAAAATATCTCAAGATACCAAAGGCTGTAGAAAATTAAAGATTCTGTTTTGATACAAGTGATAATTTATTTTAAATTAATCTAAACTACATGAACAAAGATTTGAACTCGAGTGCTGAGTAAGAAGCGTATCCACTCTAACCAACTGGAATAAGCACATGCCTGCATTTAAGATTCTGTTTCGAAACTACAAACGTATAAATAAAATTGAAATTATTTGAACAATTGAAAACCCTCTTATGTAAAAAGGCATTAGAATAACTCTTCTTCGATAAAGAAAGGGCAAATGGGGAAGCCTAAACAAATATCACAAGAAGGAGAAAGCAACAAAATGGTTAGTCGACCGAGGCTTTATTTTTGTCCTCAAATTATTAGCCCACGTTCAATGTAAGAATTTGGGAAGAGCTCTTTGTATTTATTTGCACGAGTGTCGGGGCTCAAATATTTTTTTCCCTATAATACAATAACTCCACCTGCAGGTGTTGCGTTGTTTATCGTTGTTTATGACTAGACCTAATTACCCGATTAAGCTGCTGCTTAAGCCAGATTAGGGAAGTTGATGAGTTTGAAATTCGTCAACTCATCAAAGCATATCGGTTAATTAAACCCTAAATCAGGATTTCTTATTTTATGGAAAAAAATCTCATAATGAACCATTATTATTAGTAAATTATAGATACACACGATCACTTTTAACCATCTTCCGGTAAATTTAACATATTCTGAAAAATGTAAAAATTTACTCAATACTCGCTCAACTTTTACAACTCGGCCAACTAGAGACGAACCCAGCATTTTAAAATGGGGGAGACTAGATTTATCTTACTAGAGTGTTAGATTTTAGGTTCGATTAAACCTTTAAGAGAGACTTATAGAATTGATTCTAAATATATATATATAAATTTAATATGAGAACATATCATTTTTATTTTATTTATTTAAAAGGCCTTTTTTACACTAACAATGCCATCAACTTTTCATCATGTATGCTTAAACATTAACACTAACTATAAAAAAAGAAAAAAACTAAGATGGCCTATAGCCCAAGTTGTACATAGCATAGGTTCGCCCTTGCAGCCGACCCTACATTTGCATGTTCAATATTTCTGATTCTAGTGACAATTAGTATAGTAAGTATTCTTTTTTATAGTAAATTTATCTTTTTGTCTCAAAACTCATTGTTTTCTTGCCTACAACACATCACTTTTATTTTCTATACATAAAACCCTGATTTTTATAAGAAAAATCCGATAAATAGGATCCAACAAAGACAATTATCTAATTAAGCTACAAATGTAATTTATTATAGTTTTTAGATTCCAAAAATACCCCTCATTACAGTTTACCTTTCCTCGATAATTGTGTTGATTTATTAATAGACTTTATTTTTGAACTGATTTGATGTAATTTAATGTTTTTTTTTTTCAAAAATGGTGACATTTAATGTTTTTATTTGTTTATTTTACAATCAATTTAGTTTCTCTGTGTTCTTTTGCCTTGGGAAACCTTTTTTTGGTTGCTGCAATATATTCAATTTTCATTCCATAAATTGTTACCAATTCTCTTTAATTAGTGTAGTGATTTGGAGTATTTACTCCCTCAGGCAAAGTCCTAGGTTCAAGTCCTAGCATCTGTGTAGTGTGTGTGAGTTTAATATGCTATCGCTCCTCTCAATAGGAAATGTCCTTAAAATAAAATAAAATAAAAAATTCGCTTATAGATTAATGTTCCCATTCTTTTAAATTCAAAATTATTATGCATCTATTTTAAATTATATTTTAAAATATAAGAAAATCATTGTACTTAAAAATATAGGTAAATTAATATACATAGTCTTAGCGAAGAACATAAAGAATTATAGGTAAATAATTTACTTATATAATCTATGGAAATTAGGGACCTGGAAAATATAGGTGCATATAGATAAATAGTTTCCCTATATATTTTTACCTATATAATATAGGTGCATATAGGTAAATAGTTTACCTATATATTTTTGCCTATCTAATATAGGGTAAATGTACCAATCTTTTTTTTTAGTTTAAGAACTATGTACCTGTTTTTTCTACATAAATATGTCCTTAACAATTTACCTATCATGTATTAGATATGTCGGTTATTTTTTGGGAGATTCACTATTATACCAAATATAGGGTCCCAAATTATTAAAAAAAACCCTATATGAAATAGACTTTAGAAACACACTCAAAGTCCATTTACAACATAACAAAGAGACTTTTAACTTCAAAGTGAGTGCCCAAAAATAGGTTTCGAAATTCAAAGTAAATAAAATGCTAAAAATAAGGGATTTGACAATTAAGGTAAATGACATAGTTTGTAATTATTTTATAATACTAGAACCATTATTAACCTATATTCAAATTTGAGTTTTTCATAAAATTTAAAAGAATAGGTGAATTTATGTCTAGAATATAAGAGTTACAAGGTGGTCTCTTTTGTTTAAACAACTAGTATAGTAATGGTGTGTTTAATAATCAGGAATTGAATTCCACCTGTGGGGGATTCATGCGTTTGCTTCACATTAAGGAATTGAAAAGTAAGTTGGGCCCACACAAAATTAGGAATTGAATTCCTGATTTTAGAGGAATTCAATTCTTGGGTGGAAAGTGATATTCTAATTCTTGGAGAATTAACCTATTAAGAATTCATTTTTTTTACCCATTATATTCTCACACAATTTTCAAAATTCCAAATATGTCATCTACTTTAACCCAACAACGATGACATTTTAGTAGTTAGTATCACTCATACCCCAATTTCATATGGTTTAGTAAACAACTTCAATAGGAATTTAAAATCTAACTTCCCTCAATCCATATGGTTTGGTAAACAACTTTATTTTGAATCCAGAATATAATTCTTCTCAATCCAACTCCTCCTCAATTCAATTCATTTTTAATTCAATTCCTCTTAATTTAATTACAGATTAATAAACGTGCCATAAGTGAAAAGAGAAAATTGTAGAGAAACACCAAATTAAATTGAACTCGTGCATGTACGTAAAAATGTGGTCTTCTCTAGACTACGACACGAATTTCACGAAAAGACGCCATTTGAATGTGGGACAGATTAGAAAAGGCAGAGCTTAGAAAGAAAAGAAAAAATAAAGGGCAAAAATAAAAAAAAGACCTCCCGCAACATGTGGTGGGCCGAGGCACAGACACAAATGCGATGCAGGGAATCCCCATTTTTTTATTTTATCTCGGTTTTTGTAACAAAGAATCCTAATTTTCATTTTTGCAATTTTATTTTTTGTTCCAAACAGAAGATTCCCCACCTAATTTAATTAAATTTTAAGATCCGGGTCCAAAGGGCATTTGGAGTCCGCCAGCGCCTATATAAACCCCCATCAGCCCCCTTCATACTCGCAGCCACAACAGAAGAGAGAGAGCTAGAGCGAGAGAAACAGAGAGACAGCAACGCAAGTCCAGAAAGAGGACACAGAGAGAGAGAGAGAGAGACAGGCAGACAGAGAGAGAGAGAGAGAGAGAGAAAATGGGCGGGTGGGCAATCGCTGTGCACGGCGGCGCTGGTGTGGATCCCAATCTCCCGATGGAGCGTCAGGAACAGGCCAAACAACTCCTCACTCGCTGCCTCAATCTCGGCATCTCTGCTCTTCGTTCCGATCTCGCCGCCATTGATGTTGTTGAGCTTGTTGTACGTCCCTCTCTCTCCACATTTCAATTATCATCAAATCCCATACCTTTTTTTAGCCATTCCTTAATCCTTTGGATTTTTTTTTCAATCTCATTTCTTGTGTTTGCGTTGTGGGTTTTCTCTGTAACCAAACATGTCCCGAAAATTCTCCCGGACATAACGAATAAAACCTTGCATTTAAGTTTCCGAGTTTTTAGTTTTGTCTTAGTTTGCATGCTTACTTTGTCCACTCCTTATTTTACTCTGCTAGCTGGCGCTCAATCATGCATGCTGGACTTTTTTATATTATTATTTTTTATGCACCAGTGTACAGTGAACAGAGTATTGCAAAAATGGCATTTTACTGACTATTTTTGTTGTGTAAAATAGGTGAGGGAATTGGAAACCGATCCCTTTTTCAACTCCGGCCGTGGATCGGCCCTCACTGAGAAAGGGACGGTGGAGATGGAAGCCAGCATCATGGATGGGCCCAAGAGACGATGCGGGGCCGTATCGGGCTTGACCACCGTTAAGAACCCGATCTCGCTGGCACGTCTCGTCATGGAGAAATCCCCTCATTCCTACCTCGCCTTCTCCGGCGCCGAAGACTTCGCCCGTCAACAGGTTTGTATATTTACACTTTGGTCCCTATACTTATCAATACCAAATCGAAGAACCAAAGTCTTCTTTTGATTCTATAAAAAGAAAAAAAAGAAAGAAAAATACTCATGTCTTTTTCAGCAGGTGTAGGAATCTAGTGCGAAGATTCCACCTATTCTTTCCAGTGCCACACGTCTGTTTAAATAACTATTTTACTAGATCTCCTAACCCAACAATTTAATAATAATATTGGATGTAAAAAACAATTTAATAATAATATTACTATTTTTAATACATATTTTTCTGGACAAAGATCTTCCTTTCTTTTTTCTCTGTGGAATCTTTATGGGATTTGGTGTCATGTGCTAGGGAGTTGAGCTTGTGGAAAATGAATATTTCATCACCGAGGAAAATGTGGGCATGCTCAAGCTAGCAAAGGAAGCCAACACCATCTTGGTATCTATTTATCTTTTGATTAATCTTTCATTAAATTAATTTAATATTATGGTTGTATGGTCCATGACCATGAGTGACACTAAACCACTCTTAATTTTTGTCACGTGCAGTTTGATTACAGGGTTCCACTTGGAATGGAGAGTTGCAGCTCAGGTGTGGAGAGCCCGTTGCACATGAACGGGCTCCCCATTAGCGTGTACGCTCCTGAAACAGTCGGTTGCGTGGTGGTGGACAACCAGGGGCACTGCGCTGCGGCCACGTCCACTGGTGGGCTCATGAACAAAATGACGGGCCGCATTGGTGACTCACCCCTGATCGGTGCTGGCACGTATGCGGGTGACTTGTGCGGGGTCTCTTGCACGGGAGAGGGCGAGGCCATCATTCGCGGTACACTGGCGCGTGAGGTGGCAGCTGTGATGGAATACAAGGGCCTGGGCCTACAGGAGGCTGTGGACTTTGTGATCAAAGAGAGGCTTGATGATGGGAAGGCCGGGCTCATAGCGGTGTCCAACAAAGGGGAAGTAGCATGTGGGTTTAATTGTACTGGGATGTTTAGGGGCTGTGCAACTGAGGATGGGTTCATGGAGGTTGGGATTTGGGAGCAGTGAGGGACTTTGAAAGTGAAAAGCTTTCTGGGTTTGCTTTGGATACTGAAATAGTTGTATCTAGGCTTCTCTTTCTGGATTTGCTTTGTTGTTGGTGGTGGTGGCGTTCTGGATACTGCATTGCTTGTATCTGGACAGGAGGCTCTCTACAATCAGGAAAGGCATGCCACATTAGGTGTAAGTTGTAGTTTTAAGTGGGCCATGCACTTTACTGATAATCTTGAAATAAAAGCCCAGAGCATTTTCGTAAACTTTGATTTATTAGTTCCTTTATTAGCAATTTATTACCATCTTATAGGGTGGATATCTCATCCGAGTTATCCGTGTACCGACTGTACAATATCGATAATTTAGTTTGGTTTGGTTAAATAATTATTTTTTAATTATAATTATTCCATTCCGATCCGATCCGTACCGAAATGTTTAGTTTGGTGAACGGATAACAATATTCCTAACTCGACGGAAACTCGTACCGATTCGATATTTATACTTATTTTATTATTTAAATACAAAACAAGAAACCAAAGGTAACACACAATCAACATTTTGTATCACTTCTGTATCACTGCTTTATCACCCGGGTACTGTAGCACTTTTAGGTCAGAGAGGAATTGATGAATTTCCTACATTTTCTAGTTTCGACCTTTGTCTCATTTTTGATATGTAACTTTCTAACCGTTAATCCAAATTTTATATTCTTTATATGGTTGGATTCAGCAGGAAAAACTAAAGAACCTAGCACATACCAAATGTCAAAATAAGTTTCATAAATGTACATAATTCAGTAAAAAGAACACTCAAATATTCAAACAACAAACACAAATGGTTCCCAATACAGGCCTATCATCTTATATGTAATTTTATAAATGGTCAACTACAGGAAACACCAAACTATAGGGTATGTGTAAATTTGAATACACGAACTATTGAGCATTTATAAACGGCTAAGATGTAGCAATGGTCCTAAACTAAGACCCGACTTTACTTTTCATTCATCACTTCTAAAAATTATTATGGTTGTCCTTCTATTAGATATTGTGTTGCATTATTGGTTTTTTCGTAAATTTTGTTTAATTTTTCTATCAAAATGAAGGGCAAGTTGAGAAATTCATATCAAATATTAGAAATAATTTTTTTCCATCACCCCCACACCACGACTTGTTTGCTGAAACCCTAGTATTAGCATAACACCATAAATCACCAAAAGACTCGTCACCATTTATCGAGGGGTGGTGTTGGCGTGCGGTTGAAAAGGTGGTGGTTAGGTAAAAGTCTTATTTGCCCCTAAAATATGTATATCATTGGTTAGAAAAAGTGGTGGTTAGATAAAATATGTATATCATATGTATATAGCTACTATTGGAGATTAATGATAAAAAGTAAAGTCGGGTCTTAGTTTAGAGACTATTGCTACAATTTAGTCTTTATAAACACATACACGTGCCTATGATTTTAAAACACCTTGCATCATTTTCACCGCTAATTCCATGGAGGCACTATTGAATGAAATGAAAAGGACTATTTGTTGAGATAATAGATTTGAATTCTTTGGGGCAATCTATGAGAAACAAGATTTGGTGATGGAAAGAAATGTGCATTATTTTTGGTAGGGTATACAGAAAATTCTTGTTCTCACAAGTTGCCAAATGAATTTATCATCAACGCACAGAAGAAATATTGAAAAGTTGTAGGGCTTTGTATTTGTCAAATTGTTAATGGTGATTTATCTTTTTCCTATTGTTTGATACCACAGCCTGATAAAGCCAGAGGATCGGAGGACCTGAAAGCGAGTTGACCTACTAAATTAAATGTTTTCCCTTTTATTCTCATGACAAATGAAAAAGGAAAAAGGAAACAGCAGAAAAGGATATGAGCATGTGAAGATACTCCATCCACGCGTGAGTTCTAGACAACTTAGGATTCATTTTGACAGCGTTGGTAGGCCATAACTTGGCTGGATCTTTCTTGGCCTTTTATACGAAGCTATTACTATCCACCTCACAACTTCTTCATACCCTCTGACGCCCGTACTTATTTCACCAGAGCTAAATCGAGTCCGATGATTCTTATTTATGATCATCTCTTGAAAATCACATTTGGAAGCAGATTTTTTCAATGTATAAGTGAATCTTGTCGATTTCTTTTGAAATCAATACACTTTAATGATTAACAATTTTCCACTTTTAGCTAATTTCTCTAGCAACACAAAAAGATTCAGTATTCGTGTTAAGTATTAACAAGCCGTGTTGATAACGAGTGTGTGACGTATTAAGAAAATAGATCATGTTCGTGTTAACCCACGAAACACATTAGTAGCTTGTTAAGAAATTAAGTTATAATATTTTATTTTATTTTGAAGTTCTTGACTATGTAATTTCAATATTTTTCTTATATATGTTTGAATAATGAACTTATTTGTAAAATGCATTCTACTTATGTTGTTATTGAAAACACAATTATTTATACTAATTAGAATCAGAGCCGGTCATGGGTTTCCTAAGGCCAGGGCAAATTTTCTCAAGTGTGCCCTTTTATACAAATTAAACACTATTATTTTTAAAAAATATATGAATTAATTAATTTTATTAAAATTAAAAGAATTTACAAAAGATAAGGAAGAACACTTTGGAGCCTCATTAAAACTTTATTTGGGGAAAACCCAATGGGACAAAAACCCCAAACAAAAGAAAAAGAGTACCCCTCATTGTAAACATTGCATTCAAAAACAAAAATCACACATTTGAGTCTACATGCTTCCTCCCCCCAATCTCCGTAAGCATTTTCTTGATTTGATCAATCTTCTTTTCATCCTCCACAATTAATCAAAGTAAACAATCATCACATGTACCTACAAAATAAGAATAGCAAATAATAAAGAAACTTCCAATTATAAAGAACAAGAATCTCATCCAAGTTTTCTGTTGAATCAAATAATAAAGAAGAAAAGTTAATAAAGATATGTATTACAAATTACAATTTAAAAAATTTATACATCTATATCTATTTATAAAAAAAATTACCTTCAAAGAAAGGCACTGTTCTAGCTTGTGGATGATTTGTTTTCCAACTCTGTGTTGGAGGAGACGAGAATCACAACAACAAAAAATTGCTTGTGTTATGAACTTCTGAGAAGGTCTGATACGTTAGCAAGGGTTTTTTGGGTTTTTTTTATGGGGGGCTAAGAAGGTCTGTTGATTTCCCCATGTTTTGTTTATTTTGTTTTATATTATATAATTAATAATTGACTTTGCTTTCTCAGTGAGAATATAAAAAGTGATTGATTTGGCTTCCTTTTTGGTACATGTACGGCTCCTTCTAAGCGGTTTGGCTTCTCTCTTTTATTTTGAACTTTTATTTAGATACTCATATACATAGGCTTTAAAAAAAACATTTGGGCCCTGAATTATAGCCTTGGTCGCCTTGGGCCAAGGCTGGCTCTGATTAGAATTCTAAACATATGTAACGAGTCGGGTTGTGTTAACCATTAATCTCGTGGGTCATGTTAATATTTGAATTATTTCACTTACTAACTTAATGGGTTGTGTGTTTGTATAAACTTATTAAGAAAGTGGGTTGAATGGGACACAAACCGGTGTACCTAGGAGAAGGTGAGAATATATAAAGAAGGCACATAGGTACTGAGAGTTTAGTACAGTGCGCCCATCATCATGCAGCATAAGATGAATATTGATGGAGCTGCTGCTAGTGGTTCTTCTGTTCTAGGAGGAGGGGGTGAGAGAAAATGGGGATTTAATGGTTGCCAATGCCATGTCAAAACTTGTCCAAACTTCCTTTTGTTTTGTTTTTGCTTGTCCAATTTCCCTTTTCTCCCTTCGGTTGTACTGGAAGGAATTTAAACTTGAGAGGGACTCTAGGCTGTGTCCTTGCTGATGTCTTATCGTCTTTTATATTTGGGCGAAATAAAAATGTCTAATCCTCTATCCTATTGGAATATGATGCTCTAAAGTGTAATCCAGGTGCTCCAAGAAGACAATGTCTTCCCAAATGATGGTGTTGTTTTGTACATTTCAGGTTAGTTTATGATAGCCATTTTAATCAATTAAATAAAAAACTGAGTGCATGTTGGAAACATTCAAATCAAAACAGTCTTTATTCTCCATCCAAATTCCAATACAAGAAGCACATGTTACATTAATGTAATGATATGATCAGATGGTCTCAGTCATTTAGTGGTCTTCTGATCTTTGGCACTGCCAGAAACGGCATCCTTGGCGGATTGAAAGGCATTTGAAACTGCAGCTGCTGCACCAGCAAGGACTCCGCCGCCTCCAGTCCCTGAATTGGCCCCATCTTTAGTCTCATGAATCACCTCCACCTCCTCCTTCGTGGGTTTTTTGTCTTCCCCTGCCGGTGATCGATAATCAACCGTGTCCACCACCTTGATTTCCACTCCACCTTGCTCCTTTTTCTCTTCAGTTGCCTGCAAAACCCAACCTAATTAATCAACTCAAAACTACAATGAATCCAAATACAAATAAAAAAACATATGGCTTAAAGGAAAACTAAGGGTTAAATTTCTATACTTTCGGGGTACTCATGTTGCAAAATTCAACTTTGACAGTTAGTTATATGAAATGAAATCAGTGGGCAAGGGCACATACATATATAGTTTTAGTTCGTCGACCTCAAGACTACCAGGTGCTGACACGTGCCCTGTGAGCTGTCCGTTTGGTGTCCACGCATCTGAATCGTCTACAGAACAAGCATGTGAACTTGTGACGGTGGCTAATTCACCACAAGATTTTGTAATCGTTGAGCCAATGGCAATCTTGCACCTGCTATATAATATGGGAATTTGATTCTTCTGCCGACCTTAACTTTTTGCTAATGGATAAATGAACTGAAAAGCCCATAACCATATGAATGAAGGCCCATCTTCCAAGGGCCACGAAGGTTCAAATAGGCCCAATAGGTCAATAATGATTGATTTTAAAGATATTTACGAATATACTCATTCTTAACACCAAAAATATAAATAAACCATACACCATTTAATTTTTATAAACAAACCCAAAAAATAACAGCTGGCTCTATTTAATTTTTTTTATATTATTAAATTACTTTGATGCCCTATTGAGTGTTTTGAGTTTTTTTATGAGGTTTTGCGGTTGGACTTGTTTTAAGAAATCGATGACAGTTTTGTAATTTATAAGAAGTTTAAAGCCAATTTGTTATGTTGTAAATGAGCTTTGGGTGTGTTTCTAAAGTTCATTTCATATATGGTATTTTTATAATTTTGGCCCATATATTGGGTATAATAGTGAACTCCCCATGATTTTATGGAGCGCCAACCCAATAATTGTGGTGTCCACGCATCTGAATCGTCTACAGAACAAGCATGTGAACTTGTGACGGTGGCTAATTCACCACAAGATTTTGTAATCGTTGAGCCAATGGCAATCTTGCACCTGCTATATAATATGGGAATTTGATTCTTCTGCCGACCTTAACTTTTTGCTAATGGATAAATGAACTGAAAAGCCCATAACCATATGAATGAAGGCCCATCTTCCAAGGGCCACGAAGGTTCAAATAGGCCCAATAGGTCACTAATGATTGATTTTAAAGATATTTACGAATATACCCTTTCTTAACACCAAAAATATAAATAAACCATACACCATTTAATTTTTTTATATTATTAAATTACTTTGATGCCCTATTTAGTGTTTTGAGTTTTTTTACGAGGTTTTGCGGTTGGACTTGTTTTAAGAAATCGATGGCAGTTTTGTAATTTATAAGAAGTTAAAAGCTTCTTTGTTATATTGTAAATGGGTTTTGGGTGTGTTTCTAAAGTTCATTTCATATATGGTATTTTTATAATTTGGGCTCATATATTTAGTATAATAGTGAATTCCCCATGATTTTATGGAGCGCTAGACACCCAAATTGTATTCACAAGTTACAACAAAAAATAATAGTTTTTTTTGTTGTTGTCAAAGTTACAAGTGGTGGGGGGTTTCGAATCCAAGATCACTGGGTGATGAGGGAAGTGCCTTAACCACTTGCGCTACTACTCGTCCTCAAACAAAAATAATAGTTATATATTGGAAATAAATATTCTACAAATTAGGAACTGCAAATTTTAAGAAGTTTCCAATATGGGGTACATTTCTCTGTGTGTTACCATTCTGGCACATCAGATTACAGGTGATGCCCAAAAGAATAAAGAAAGGAACGAGCTAACTTGATCCCCAGGTGGACCTCAGATGTGGTAGTGAGGTGGAGGTGATCTTCTTTCAGATGCAGGCCTTTTGCATCAACACATTTGACATTGCCTAACTTAACATCCAGCTGACCTTTCCTCACCACATCTACGAACTGCCCTTCTCCTGATGCCAATGCCACCTGCAATCCATAATCACCATGCATGTCACAACAATACATTTCGGCGATGATTTTGGCACTTCAAATCTTTACCAAAAAGAAAAATTCTTGGCACAAGTATTATTTCCTGCATAAACTTTTTTAAACAACTTAGTTTTTTTTTTCTTTTCTTTTTTTAAACGGTAAAAAAACAAGAGCAAATTGTAGGCGTGAGGCCCAGTTGGACATAGAGTGAGTCCGCCCTAAAGTAGTTTACACTAAGATAAAAAAAAAAAACAGAGCAAATGATGCAAACCTGGATGACAGGAAGATTTGGGTTCTTAAGATCACAACGCAGGTCCATAACAAGCCTTTCGAAATTCCCTTTATACCCCTCAGCATCCACTCTGTTCACGGTGTCACTCTCTCCCTGGTACCACAAAACCGCTCTGATAACTCCACCGTCCCTGACTGACTCGGTGGCTCGTCTCACCAACTCGTTATACAACCGAGTCCCTCGAGCCCACTCACCGATTCTCGTCCCACCCACAGCGCAGGGAACCAGACCCAAGACCCCAAATCCTGAGCCCCTGACTCTGAGAACCTCATTGGCAAAAGCCATGCCTGGCCCAACCCCACATGTCTTGCCCACATCAATGTCAGCGTGGAGCGGCTCATGTGCTTGTTCCCATCCGAGTTGAGCACTGAGTTGGACGATTGACGATTTGGGCTGGCACTCGGGCGGGACATTGCCATTCCATTTGCTTCCATTGACGCCTCCTCGTCCTGCCATGTTGCTCTGGCCGGCGAGGATGAAGATGTTCTTGCTGCCAGTACAAGCGCCTACATTGAATTGGGTTGCTAGCAACAGAGAAAATAGAGTAGCCGATAAAACCGTGGCCATTTTCTATGTGGAATTTGTCTCACTCTGCTGCTTGCTTACTCTGTGTGAGCAGAGGCAGAGTCCGTGATTTTATGTTGGGTCACAATTCACGTGGAGTAAATGATGAAAATTTGAGAACAACTTTTCCAAATGGGGTGGTAATTACATTTGGCATGGCAGTGATGCTCAAGTGATCACAACGTTTACGGAATGGAGAATGGCCGGCAAAAAAAGAAAGAAAAAGAAAATGAAAAAGAATGATGTGTGTAGAGTAATATCCCATATTTATTTAACAAGCAATATTATGGTATTGGTAATTTTCCGTATTATCAATTGATTTTAGGTTAAATATACTAATTTATTGATAAAAGGGTATATTAACTAATTTTAGCATCATAAATATGGATTTTGTCAAAAAGAAAAATCATAAATTTGGATTGGCAGCTTGAATTAATATCTTAGGTGGGAAAGTGGACTGCAGAGTATTGTTAGATTTTTTTGAACCCAAGCAAAGATTTGATTAGCATTGCCGCTCATTAATTTCCTCCAAACTTCACGGTGTTTGACCAGATTGATGTTTGTTCAACAACCGGTAGGTAGATTGTGACCCAAAACAACAAAGCAAGAGTATGCTGATTGGGCTCATCCTTCTTGCTTCTTGTCTCTTCTTAACATTCCAATGAAATTTGATTGAGACACATACGTATAAATAGGCCATAGCTTCCTACTTACTTTAAAAAAAACTGTCATAATCTTGAGCATATATGTAGTAGCCCTTCTATAAAACTAGAGGTGGGCACGGTTCGGATTGGATGGGTTTCACCTTAAAATCATGACCGAATCAATTACAATATGACGGTTTGGTTTGATTCGATTTGGATAAAATTTATAAAGGAAATCAAACCAAACCAAATCCATTTAAGATGATTTGGTTCGGTTTGGTTCAGCCGATTTGGGCCTAAGCCCAATTCTCTTTCTTTTTGCATTTTCCAACATTGTTAGCCCAATTATAACCAACAAATTCACAACTTATTTCATACATAAATCATTTTCTAGAGTACGAAACTATCTTAAAGCTCAAAATGTCATAAAACTTTATATTTCACTAACTAATATAGCTCAATTCAAATATTCATATATAGTTATTAACTAATTAGAGTATTACACATGTAAAATAAAATATAAATAAATAAATATACACATAAACAGTCCGATTTGGTTTAGACCGATTTATAAAAGCTCAAAACCAAACCGAATCAAACCATATATGGTCTGGTTCGATTTTCAAATTATTTGACTTTTTCTTAGTTAAAACCAAACCAAATCGGTAATTATGGTTTGGTTCATCCAGTTTCATCGGTTCAGCTGGATTGATGCCCACAGTGGCGGAGCTAGGATTCTTAGCATGGAGGGGCCAAAATTTTAAAATCACTTCCACATAGATTTTTTTATCTTCAATTGGGAGGGCCATCACTAATCTAATTACAGTAATTGTATTGCTATAACATATATTTTATAATATATTACAATAGATTAAAAATTAAATTGGGGGGCCTACAATAGATTAAAAATTAAATTGGGGGCCAGGGCCATGGCAGGCCTGGCTATGGCTCCGCCCCTGGATGCCCACCCCTACATAAAACTGTCATAATATCTAGACATAGTTACTAGAAATATTTTTGTTGAATATAATTTAATTAGAATTACTCAGGTCTCGTACCATTAGAATTAAGAATATGCTATCATCAATTGCATGTGGACATTATTGAGTGTGTCACCCATTATGGGTGCATGACTCTATCACTAATGCTATCACATCTCCAAAAATTGATATATATGGCATGGAGTACAGGGCATTAGTTTGGCCTTTACCCTAAAGCCAAACAATTTGAATTTTGGACCCTACGATGGAAGGAACTAACAAGTTAGCTTATGGTTATGCTAAAAAATTTCAGAAGCAGAAAAATTACCGAATTGGAAACAAAATTAGAAAGTGTTCTAGGAGCATCACTGGTACCGGTAGTGGAGGAGCTTGGCAGAAATTGAAGATATGCAGCAGCCAGCATTTGGCCAAGCCGAACCTGGGCTGGGGTGGTGAGGTGCAAAGCATCAGGTTCCAATGGCAAACCCTTGGCGTCAACGGTTCGCACGTTTAGAAAGTCAACTCCCAGTTGGGCTTCCCTAACTATCTCTATGAAAGCTGCTTCTTCCCCAGATGCTAGAGCCACCTACATATATGTCACAAAAATAAACGACATTATTTGATTTATTTTGTTTCATAAAACCAATGCTTGCCTAACCTAGGATCAATTCTTTCTGTCCATTTCAATTCTGCTTGGAAATGCTTTGATTTTAAATAACTACTAAAATTATATATAAAAACTAAACTGTTCAGATAATTGAAATAGAATGCGTGATAGACCGTATAAAGATATCCCTAAATATATATATGTATATTTATCACATTAAGAATACCAACTCGTACTAGGTTTTCATGGGAATGGTCCAAATTAAATATACCTTACCTACTGCGGACATAACAAAGAAGCATATAAAATTAATAAACTATTTACATTTTCATTGAAGTACCAAATGTCATGTCATATGAAGCTTTTTGATTGGATTAACAAGCAAGATCCAAGATCGAAAACCCAAGTAACAGAATTTTCAGAGAAGAAAAGGAGTGAAATTAAATTAAGTAATTAATTAATGGTACCTGGATTATTGGGAGAGCTGGAGATTGCAGATCCATGCGTACGTCCCCAAAGAAAGTTTCCACTCTGTTTTTGTAAGACTTGGCGTCTTCTCTGTTAGCCGTATCGCTCTCACCCTGATACCACAGCACTGCTCTGATCGTACCGCCATTGTTCAACGCAGCCTTGGCTCTCCTGATCATCTGATTGTACAAGAAAGAACCACGTGTCCACTGGGTTATGTTGGTCCCACCCACTGCACAGGGCACTAAACCAAGCACGCCCCCGGCGCCAGAGCGGTTAGCCACCAAGATCGCGTTGGCAAAGGCCATGCCGGGTCCAATCCCATTGGTCTTTTTCGCATCGATGTCGGCGTGGAGAGGCTCACGTGCCTCGACCCACGTGAGGTCAGCGCTGAGGCGGAGGATGGACGGGTTGGGGCGGCACTCTGGCGGAACGACGCCGTCCCAGGTGGCGATGCCTGTGACAGTGTCGTTTACGACGCCACCCCGTCCCGCCATGTTGCTCTGGCCGGCGAGAATGAATATGTTTTTCGTGTATTGCTCTGTTTGTTGTTGTTGTGGTTGGTGTGGGTGGGTCGTAGTTGGTTGAGATGCCGAGTAGGCTTGGGCCACAAGGGAGAAGAAATGCAAGAGGAAAAGCAGCATCGTGGGGACAGAGTGGTGTGGTGTGGGCTCTCTCACTCTCTTTCTCTCAAAAGTTGGAAGCTCCTCCCATTTTTGAAAGCAAAAAGCTTTGCTTCTGATATGGGATTTTGTTAGCTAAAGGTCATATGATTCTTCATTGGAGGAAGGAATCTTACTCCACATCAAATAAACCTTTCTTCTCTTAATTATTTTTAAATCTTAACAAGGTCTCTAAGTCAATGCTCAAATAATGCCTAGCCAGAATGATGCCGCCCTGTTCAATGCCTAAGCGTCATGGCAACAGTTTTGAATGATACCTTAGCAGCATTTAGGAACATTTAGGCCCTGTTTGGTGGGCCGGATTGGACAAGACTGGATTGGGCTTGGAGTGTTGGACTGGGCTGGTTAGGACTGGACCAGACTTTGAGTCTATTGTTTGGTGCTTTACTTAACTTTGGACTGGACTGGACTTAAGTCCAGTGCACTGTTTGGTACAAGACAAGACTGGAATGGACTGGACCTCCAACAAAAATTAATTTTTTTAGTGCATATTAAATTATCTAATATAAAAAAATTAATTTCGTCCAAAAAAAAAAAATTTAAAAAAAATGTACATAATTAAAATTTAGAAAGCCCCATCACATGCTAATTCTAAAATAGCTAAAAACATATCCAAATTTAACAAAGAAATTAAAATACCTATTTGGCTTTTGCCCATCAAAATACAAAAAGTTCAAAATATAACAAAGTAAAAACTCAAAACTACATTTCAACAACGAGATCTATAATCTCTAAGAAGTGTCGTCACATACTCGTACCTATCATCACCCTCATCTAATGTCTTGAACACACGCACTTTTGCCGAATCAGTAAATAAAGTCAGCAAAGAGATTCTATCTGAAATAGAAAATTCCATCTTTTTTAACTCATCTCCAACAAATTTAAGATCATCATCTGCATTCTGCTCCTTTAAGCTCTCAACCAACCTTTGCACTTTGGCATCAGAGTTCTCCATCATACTCTCAAATGCATTGGCAATTCTTCCCAAACCATCAACCATTTTATTTCCTTGTCTTACCCTTTTGTTTCTTGATGATGATGATTTGGATTGAGCTTGAGTTTGATCAGTATGATGGCTCCCATCCAACTGTACATCAGGAATGTTACTCTCAGATGCTTCATCATCATCATCTAGAACCATCTCAGCTGGAGCTAAAGCAGAATTTCCGGTTGCACGGTCCTTGCCAAATACTTTTCGAAGCCTATCAAACTTTGCAAAAGATTTATCTCTCCACCCAACAGCATCATTATGGTGCTGCAATAAAATAAAACTAAGATTTGTTAATCCAACCAAAACATGAACTAAATTAGAAAAAACAAAAAAATAGAATGATGAATTACCAACCTCTGCATAAGCATTCCACACCTCATCGCTATCAACCTCTACACATTTCTTCTCATTATTCCAAGCAAAACCACTTTGGTTTAACATGTCAACAACAATACTATAATCTTTCTTCAATCTCTTCAATTTAGAATCCAAATGGGGTTTAACTCTAATAGGTGTATGTGGGATCAATAATCTAAGTTTAGTTTCTACCAATTTCATCGTTCCCGCTTTGAATGTGCCGGCATCACAACGTTGACCACTCGCAACTAATTCATCAAGGATATTTAACAATGCTTCCTCTTCATTGGCTTGCCATACATATCTATTAGCCTTACCCTTAGACATCTACATAAAGTAACAACCATGCATGTTAACAATATTGGCAATAGCAATAACAAAATCATAATCTGTCACTTTCTTTTTTTATACTCAAACATAAACTAACAGACTCAAAAATAAACGTTGTTTCTCTAATTCTAACAGATGCAATTCTAATAGTGCTCAACACCCTGCAATTCAACCA